CAGAAGCCAAGGGAAGATGGGTGGAGGAATTGCCGAGTGTTCTATGGGCGCACAGGACTTCCTTCAAAGTAGCCACGGGTGAAACGCCCTTCGCGCTAACTTATGGAAGAGAAGCGGTGTTGCCTGTTGAAATGCGTGTTCCAACTTTCAGAATGACCAATCGGAGCGAGTCTATGGAGGCCCAAGGGCGCATTGATGAGCTAGACCTATTGGACGAGCGCCGAGAAATGACGGTGTTGCGATTGGAGGCAATGAAGAGTCAGGTGGCAAGGTACTACAACAAGAAGATGAAGGCGCACAACCTCGTGCGAGGTAGCCTTGTCCTAAAGCGGGATTTCCGCCCAAAGGCTGCCGAAGGAAAGTTGGCCCCAAAGTGGAAAGGGCCATACCGCATTCAAGAGGTCATTGGTCCAAATACATTCAAGTTGGAACACCTATCAGGCAAGAAGGTCAAGAGGACGTGGAATGCACAAAATTTGCGCAAGTATGAGGCGCCCGAGTCGGAGGTAAGTACCATGCAAGGAGCAGAGGAGCAGGCGCCTGAAGATGAGTAAGCATGCAAGGCTAGTCGATTCTATGGCGGAGTTGTGTTTTTCTTGTGTGTCCTGTTTTCCAAAGCGCCTACTTTTGCGCCCGCCTTATCCTGTAAAGCGCCCTACTCGCGCCCTCTCCATGTAAAGCGCCCAAATTTTGCGCCCAAAACTTTTTGGAATCGGATTAATTATTATATGTGAAAGAGGATATCTAAAAGGTAGTAATGCAGCGCCCACCTCGTTGCACCCCACATAGCGCCCACCTCATTGCGCCCCATATAGCGCCCAAACCATTCGCGCCCAGTACAGCGCCCACTCTATTGCGCCAGTGCAATTGATAAATAATGAACGTGACATGCGCCCCCATAGCATAGGCGTAGGGGTAGAAAAAGAAATAGCTGAAGCAAAACGCAGAGTTCAATTCGCAAACATAAAGAGTCTTGACACAAAAGAGGGGAACGAACAAAACATAAAGTCTAACTGACAAACACAGAAGTAGCAAATGGAAATCACTAGGCGCCTAAACCTACTCGGCTGACCCACTGCCGGACCCAGACGCTGACGCATCATCATCTTCGTCATCACCATCATCTCCTTCCTCGCCGTTATCCCCATCATCAAGCACTTCGTCTACTACGGGGCGCCCGCTTTCCATAAAGGAAATCACGAAATTCACCATAGAGTTGACATCCCACTCAATGTCGGGATGATCGGCCGCCAACTTTCTTCGCAAGATCAGGATGCTATTGAGGGCAACCTCGGCCTTAAGCGCCTGCTCAGACTTGGGTGGGGCGCCTTCCTCGAGCGCCTGCCTTTCATCCTCCAGCGCCTTCTTCTCTTCTCTGAGCGCCTGTATCTTCTTTTGCTGCTTCTCGTTTTCCCTACTCAGCTCCTTCTTCTCCTTCTTCAGAGTACGCTTATCTTGGCGAAAGAGGTCGATTTCGCTCCTGTAGGCGCCTGACTCCTTGTCCAAGTCAAGCTTCTCCTGTTCCAACCGCACACTTGTCTCCTCATGCGCCCTCTTTTCTTCCTCAATCTGCGCCTCATACTCGTTGCGCAACTTCTCTTTCTCTTCATCAACAGTGCGCTGCACAAGAGAGGCGCTCTTCGCGGCCTCAAGTTGGGCATCCTCACACAACTTTATGAGCTCTTCTTGACAATTTCTTGCTGTCTCCAAGTTATCTTGGGCCACACCAAGAGAAGTGGCCGCTGCAGTAGCCTCGGCGCGCAGGGCCTCTCGCTCCATGACAACCTTCTTGGCCGCAAGCATCATCTGTCAAAATGTAGTTAGGCGCCTGTCAGTATATACTCAATAGCATAAGATGAGCAAAACAACAATTGAGTTACTTACTTGAGCATTTAGACGACACATCTCTGCCAATGGGTCGGCCTTCTCTAGCTCCAGGGGCGCCCGGAGCACATCCCCAGCAGCTAATACCATTTGGATGGCAGAACTCCTCTCCAAGGCGGCCCGGTCCGAACAAGTTATTGTCACCTTATGCTTCGGCGGTTGAAGCCATTTCTTCATCGACTCTGGCAATTCTATGTCATCATCTATTCGGGGGCGCTTCCCCGACTCACCCAAGGCGCCTTCCACTTTCCTCTTCAGTCTCTGGGACAAAGGCACTTCATCCTCAACGACATCCTCCCCTTGAGAAGGTCGACAATAGGTGCTGAGGCCTACGTTGCATCGGGCGCCTCCCCTGTACCCAATGTATCAGTAGGCGCCTCGGGACTGGTAACCTTCTTGGGCTTGATTCTCTTGGGAGATTTGCCCTTTCGAGCGGGCGCCCCTTACTCACCGAGGGCTCAGGCGCCTGTGTTTCAGTCGCGGAAGACTTAGCCCGGGTGGAAGTCGCGCCTTTGGAGGAGGTGGCCTTGCCTTTTCCACCGGGTTTTTGGGCGCCTTTTCTCGCGGTGGGCGCCTTCTTGGCCACCAACCCCAGATTTGCGAACTGGGACTTCATCAACGAAGCAACGGAGGTGAAGTCAGCACCTACACAAACAAAAACAAAGAAAAACCGTTAAGAAGGCGCATAGATCAGGCGAGAAAGAAGCATAGGCGCCCGGAATATATAATAGCCCACCGTCTTGGTAATATTCATGCAAGACAGGCGTCCGAGCGTGGGTAGACTGAAGACAAACAGGATGCAAAGAAAGAAGCCGGGCGCCTTCCTTCTCCGCGTCCGTCAAGGTTACCTCGACGTTAAAAGCCTCATGGTCACCAAAAACCCATCCCCTTGTGAAGGGGGCGCCGCTTTCATAAAACGATTCTTTACGAGGTTTCATGAAGAAGAAGCCCCTAAACCACTCTCTACCTAACGTAGGCGGTTCTTTTAGGAAGTGGCCGGGGATATCTAGGCGCCTCTGAAGCGAAAGACAGTTATTGTTATACTGCATCTTATAAAATTGATGAAACAGATTAAACGAGGGCTCGACGTTATGTTGCCGACATTTCAGCCTAAACAGAATATGGATAAGAAAGACTGAAGGCGATAGGCGCCCAATGGAGCATTGGCATGTCGACAAAATTCCTTCAAGAATCTCGTCTAAGGGAAAGCGGAGACCAAATCGGAAGTATTCCCGATAAATGCCAAGCCACCGGGGGCCAACAACCCCAATGCGAGCCACGCGGGGCGCAGGCGCAAAAGCCCAGGTAAGAGGAAGTTGTAGAGAGATGGCCAAGTTCTCTAGTTCAAGCGCCTTTACAGTTGAGACCTGATCGGGACCAGCTTCGACCACGGTCAAATGGCTGGTCTCGGTAGGCGCCTCACCAGAGGGAAAGGTATCCACCCATCTCCTCATCTTCACCGATCCGTCCGAGGGGGCGCCTGAATCAGCTGACATCGGAGATATCGCTAATTCAGCCAAAGGGGGAGGTCCGGGCGCCGCGCCTAAAAGGTTCGAGGGAAACTGCCACATCAATCCTACATTCTAAGGGTTGAGGGCGCCTATATATATATTAAAAAAAAAAAAAAATTTACGCGGAGCAGGATTTGAGGACGCTGCCGAACCAGGCGCACCACTAGTCGCCGGCGCCTGTGACCTAGGAGGCTCCTCCACCACGACGGTAGTCTCATCGGCGGCGGATGCTTCAGGGGCGTCCGCCGTAATTGTCGCGGACGTGTTCTCAGTCACGGGCGCCTGGCTCTTATTCCGAGTCGTCCAGCCGCCGGCCTCGCGGAGGGGGTCGGGAGAGAAGTGTTGCGCCAACACGGAGAGAACGTCGGGCGCCGTGCCGGTGTCTTTCGTCGCATCAGGAGAGGGGGCGCCCGAGCCAGAACGGCGAGACATTTATTCGGCACTTATTTGATGGTATGGCAGGCGCCTAGGCGGCTAGGGTTAGAGAGAGGAAGTTAGAGAGAGAGGCTTTGCAAAAATGAGAGGGGAAGAAAGTGACCGGCGTATTTATATGAAGAGAAGCCCAACGGGTAGATCTGGGAATGCGCGCCCGGCCTTAGGATTAAATCCTCACCGTCCATTCCAAATTAAAAAAAATATATTTAAATTTGGAAATGCACGGTGAGGGGGGCGGGCGTATAGAGGGGCGCCTACTGGTGGGAAAAGGTGGGCGCCTGATACAGAAGGTCAGTAGGCGCCTATCATGTAGACCTGGTGGGAGAACGGGCGTTTTAGAACAGGACGACAAAGGCTTGGGCAGGGGTAAAGGAAAGTGCTTACGAGTTCTCGGTGGTAGACGCGGGCAAATGTCAGTAGGGTTGTAGACACAGGGGGACAAGAGGGTATAGAAGAAGCGCCTATAAGGGTGTACATGGTGGGGGACACGGCTGCGAGGGGCGCGCAGGTCTAGTGGTGGACGTGGGGGGACAAGGACGGGTAATGGAAGCGCTTATAGAGTGGTATACGAAAGGAGACACAACGGCAGGGCGCGTACAGGAGGTGGTATCGACCCATTTATACATAGTTAGGCACTCATCGTTAGCTATGAGCACCTAACTGGGGGACAATTGTTGGGGAAGTAGAGAAAAGCCCAAGCCCATGAGGAGGGAAGGAGAAAATAGGCCCAAAACAATGAACTAGGGCACTAGGCGGGGGACAGGCGCATGACGACAAAAGAAGGATACGGACAAGTGGTACGGAAGGGGGAGCTAGGAAAGAGGTCATCTGGCGAAGTGGTCCCTGCTGGGCGCCCCCTGTCGGGATGTTCTCAGGCGGCCACGTACAGGCGCCTGACTCTCGTACGAACAGTGCATTAAATGTGCCAGGGTGACCGTTGGGACTTCGGCGAGTATAAATAGTACTCGGTAGGTAGCATTTACGCAGGTTGGCTTCTCTCACTAAAATATTTCTCGGCACTTATCTCTCTAGAAAAGTGCACTGACTTAAGCTTCGGAGTGCTAACGGGTCGGCCAAGGCCCTTAGGCGCTTGTGGGTGCAGGTTCCAGGCGCTCGAGTTACGGATAAGTAGGAAGGTGGAGGATAAGCGTTCGGGGGTATCGGGGCACAAACAAAAAGTGTGAAGTGTGAACCAACAGAGTAACCATTTTTTAAAAACACTAGCTAAAATGTCGAGCCTTCCAAAGACGCTATCAATACAGCAACCTAGCGGATCAATGGCAAGGAAGCTGAAGAAGAGCACGCCATCGAAACAAAACAGAGGGGGAGGAGAGGTAACCGCCGGCCATGGCTGCACATCTAGGGAGAGATTTGCTTTTCTTCTCTGTTCCTCTGTTATCTTTTGAAAACGGGTAACTGGTATTTACATTTCACCCAAAGCCAAAGTGTATCTGTGACAGAAGTCGAAACAGATGATAATAAAACCCTGAATGTTGAAACTTCTGATTCCTCCTTCTAAACTCAGACAGATCCACCTTACCTACGTAAAGTCTTGTCTTGGTGTTAGGAGCAACATCTCGGTCACAAGGACAGCAGGTGAAATGAACCTGTCATCAGAATCAAGCCCATCTATCTTTTATTGCCAGAATCATCAGTGGTAAGTCGTGAATCGTTTTCAGAACGACAAAAAATGAGTAAATACAGCAGAAAGCATGCAACTTTTACACCACCACCAAATCGGCATAATGCAGGAAAGAAAGAATGGGAGGGTCTGACTCTTACCTGTAAAGTCATTGCTGGTAACTGAAAATCCACCAAACATTTATCAACAATGGCGCCAAGTAATGTAGTTAAGCAAGTTTATTGCAAGGTTTGAGAAAGGAATTCTGTTGGTTTCCCTTCAGGACCCCTACCCTGCATCCATTTTGACACGATGATGAGAAGCTATAATCGAAATCATTAGTAGCGACGTCGCATTCCAACCGTGAAAACTACATCTCTCCCTCCACCTTTCACCAAACATTCTTTTCAATGTTTGGTCTTATATAACCTTCACTACCTGGTCTCTCTCTGAATTCTCTCATCACAACAGCAAAATGGCTTCAACGTTTTTCTGGGGTTTCATCTTGGGTTGCCTTGGTGGTTTCCACTTGGCCATTGTCAATGGCCAGACTCCAGCAGCATCACCTTCAACCTTACCTATTACTCCTCCGCCTACAACCACCGTTCCTCCCCCTACGACATCATCACCACCACCGTCAACTCCAGCAGTACCGGCACAGTCACCGATCCCTGCAATGACTCCCATCTCACCACCATCTCCAAAGGCAGCACCAGTCGCCGCGCCAACTGCCCCACCTCCTCAGTCGCTTGCGCCTGTGTTTGCACCAGCAACACCACCACCGGCTTTACCACCACCCCCGGCACCTGCAAAGGCACCACCAGCTCCAGCACCAGCCCCGGTTAGTCCTCCCCCACCGGCGCCAGCACCAGCACCACTGACTCCACCACAGCTCCTGCACCAGCACCGCTGACTCCACCACCTTTGCCACCACTAGCACCAACTCCATTATCGGCGGTGCCTTCACCTGCTCCAGCTGCACACAAGCACAAGAAGAGGCCTCACAAGCATAAGAAGCATCATCATGCCCCAGCTCCAGCCCCGAAGCCCCCTAGCCCGCCATCCCCACCTGTCGTGACATCTTCTGATGATGACATAGCTCCTGCTCCATCACCAAATACGGTATGTTCTCCTTTATCAAAGTAAGAACCCTATGACCCTATGCATCTCAAGTTACTCCTAATGACCGTTCCCCTGATATTTGTGCATGCAGAATGGGCAAGATTCACAGTATCTGAGGGGAAGAATGACAACAAAGTGGGCAAGAACTGGACTAGCTGTGGTACTTCTGCTGGCTGCTGCAGTCTAGGCAGCTAAAGATCATTGAGGTGCTTATGATTGCGAGCCATGGATTTATTTCCTTCGGAAGGAAATTGTTTTGTGTGTGCAAACCAAAATAATATCTCATGTTATTAGGAACTGTAATGCAAGAGCACAGCCTCAAAACTGTCCAAGCTCAGTATCCACATTTTTGTATTGTTTAATTCTTGGATCTGCCAGTATGCAGATTAAATACTCGCGTTACATTATAAACATGAGAAGAACGAGGCACGTACAAGATCTATTTTTGGTTATCAAACTTCCTCTGCATTTGGTTCGGGCTTAATCTCCTCCCGTAGATCATACTCAACTATGAGACCAAGATTATCAGCTAATTTATGATACTGCTCACATCCTGCACACTGAAGAGGAAAAATGTAAATTCAAGCGTTAGCTCTTCCAGTATTTTCTGTCTTCCTTTCAGAGGCTAAAGATCATACTGGTTTTGCAAGAACCTTGGCAAAACAAACATGCAAGCACTGTTAATTGAGTTCAAACTATACTCCTAAAAGTTGCAAATGCACATCTGAATAATTCATGAAGTCCTGTGGCATCAGAAAGTTCCATTGCGACGGTAGGACGATGCAATTAGGCTGTTCACCATATTCAAGAAAACCAGAAAGAACTGAATTTGTGCAAGTGATAGTAAAACCAAGTTCCAGTACCTGCACAAAGACAAGCCCCCTCTCATATGCCAGACGATTGATAAGCCTTTGTGTTCTTTCACCACAATCATTGCAAGTGAATTGCACAAGCAAACTCCTCCTCGGCAATTTTATGTCCAGTGTTGCAGCCTACAATGATGAAGGGTTCAATTGTGCTAGCGAATGAAGATGCAGTAAAGCAATCAAATTCATGTGTTCAGAGCAGAAAGGTGCTAGCATACCCCATCAGAAGAATTGCTTGGTTCAGCTTCCGAATTGGTCCCGGAATCTTCCTCAGCCGCAGCAGTAGCCACCAGTAGCCTAGAGCGGCGCTGCAGTTCGACTGCCTTCTGTGAGATTCTCAACCTGCCATAAAAATTTACACTTTAAATGAATACTGTTATTAAGTCGTCGTCGACCCAGTTTTTCATGGGGGGCTGAAATTCAGAAGAGGCAATCTAGGGTTTGGGAATAGCAAACCTCGGAAGGCGGAAAGCTGAAGCCTTTGAGCTCGAGGAAGAAAAGGGCTCGAAGGAAACGCGGCAAACCGGCCGCCGCGAAGGTCTGAAAGTTGAGCTTGGGATGGCAGTTATGGCGGGAGAGGAAATTCCATGTACAAGTGCCTTCATGTTTTATGAACTTCCCAGTTCAGATTTCTCTCCGGAGAGCGTCTAAAAGATACTTGCTGAACTTTTATGAACAAACGGGATAAAAACTGGCGACTTTCAAATTCGGGATTTCATATCCCAAGTTATTTCCAAACTTGTCCTCAAATTCCAAACTTGTTGTATGTACTCATGATCCAATCCTAATGGGCAAACTGGGTTTCTTGGCAAATTGAATTTGGGGTAACAGAAAATGGAAGAAGCATTCCAAGATCCCAGCTTCAGGGCAACGAAAGTCTGTTCTTGTTTTTTTACTCATTTTCATTCCCCACGAATAAATTCTGTTTACAAAAGTAAGTATGAAAGGCACAACAATGAACAACCTCCTTCTACAACTACTACAACTTACTCTCATTTCCTTCTCTTCCTCCAAGTTCCTTGGAATCAATAAAAAAGGAACAATATGATGCCTTGTGTGACAAACAACAACGATGACATCTCTTAAGCATAGGGATCCATCATCATCCCATAAGGTCCTCTACTTTCATTTATCCCACAAAGAAAAGAGAAAGTTCCATGATCCGGTTCCGAAACCAAGCTGAGCTAGTGTAACTCAGGCACCTCAGCTTCCAATTTGGCAAGCAAAGGAATAATGGGGACCAATGGTGATGCAGAGAGGGCAAAGCAAAGGGCATCTTCTATCTTTTTAATCAGTCAATCTTCTTCATCTACTTCATGAAATGGAAGTGGAACTGTCTTCACAGCTCTGAACTTTCCAGCATTATTTAGATGCTCATTCTCCAACCTGCTCCATTCATTCAAATCAGAATTTTATTTTTGTCAGTCCAATATGCTAAATGAGTATCAAAATATCATTTCAGATCAAGCTCCATGAATAAGGGAAAGAAAGAAAGACAGGAAGGACGGTTCCTTTTTTCTCACCTATAGAAATTCCAGTGGCCTCTTCTGATGACCTCTAAAGCAGCCAAGAAGAGTCCAGTTACCCGGTAATCTACATGTTCGAAGCTCGAATGTAGAACCGTTTGCAACCAAGCTAGCCTCAGAACAAGGTTTAACCCCTGCAGAAAGTTCACCACCAAAGCACTTGATTAGATACTTTTCCTGCTTTTGTTCATAATTGTGACTCACCTAAACAGAAGCACATGTTCTCATTTCCATTGTACTTCTCAAAGGAATAAGGTTCTGTTCTTTGCTCAATCTAAGACATCTTAAACAGAATACGGTTGTTGTTCTTTGTTCTTTCTTGCATCAAAAGATCTCATCATCCATTTTGGTGAGGTGTGTAGATAAATGCAACTAGAGGGTGGTATCAAGTTCCCTGTAATGTGGCAATAGGAGATTAAATTATACCATGGAGAAATAGTAAATGAATTTTCGTCGCAGCATCAATTCGTTCCTCAGCCATGGATTCTTGGAGTCCATCTGGAGCAAGCCCCAGTCCTTTACAAAGTCCCAATACAACTGGTAAATAGTTGCAGCACTCGACATGGCAACAAGAACACATAGCCATCCGACGCTGCTGTCTTTCTCATAAGCCACTTTGGCTCCTGCTGCTAACATTGCTGATACATACTTGCCTAGATTTACTAGGTGGCTTGTCTCCCCTTCATCGAACCATCTCCTTGCACACTGCAAGCGAATTATGTGAATCAATAAAAAGTTGTATAACTTCAAATGGACTAACTAGTAAGAAAGGATGACCTGGTTGACGAATCATTGTGTTACCTGCATGGCTCGCCAGTAGTAGGGTAGGAAGGAGACTGCATAAGCAAGATCGCGGTAATACTTGGTCTTCATGCAGTAGTTATAGTCTTGGTTTTTGTAGCTTCCTGTTATATAGTAGCATGCTACATATTCCAGGTTCCTTAGCATTGGCACCTGCAAAATTCATAAGATTAGTACTACAGTTTCCTTAAGCAACAAGTTACCTATCGATGAGGCCTTTTCAGGCTCTTGTAAAAGTAGCTTGGAATTCTAACCTGGCTACAGAGTTGATCTGCCATGAAGAAATCCAGCATGACAACCTTGTAGAGTGGTGATAAAACGATGTTCCTTATGACGCAGAGGAATCTGTAACGACTCGACTTGTAGAAGATGTTGAAAGGACAAACTAATAACCCAAGGAAAGCCTGCAGAAGAAGCAAATAAAAAGAATATCATCAGTCAATATCCAACTGAAAAACAAAACCAGGGTTGTCATCATTGTAATTTTATTTGTAGTTACCAGAAGGAGAAGCCCCGGGATGGCTTGAATGTGGGAATAATAGGAGTAGCCCTTTGCAAGAATGGCGAGGTGACCAAGCATGACTCCGAGAACAATAGTCATAGCAGCTGTGCAGATCAAGAACACTTCTCTGTACTTAAGATCCTTGGTTGGTGCCAGCTCGAATATGAAGGCGTAATTGATCCTTGTTTTCTTCCACATCAAAATGTTGCAGCCATACATGAAGAAATGCAAGAACATGAGGCTGAACATGCTGCAGAAACATCATACATAGCAACATAAGTCCCACTTTTCTTATCATAAAGAATTAAATTATTGCATCTTGGATTTTAAAAAACTGGTCTAAGAAGCTTGCCTTAGGACTGGATATGCAGTCTCCATATAGAATGTTGTGTTTGATTGCCTTGGTTGCGGTCTGTACATTCCGGTGACATGAGCCATGATTACATATCCAGCTAGGAGGGCAATGAAGCACCCAGTGAATAGTCCTGTTCCATTTTTTACAGCAGATTAGGACACAAAAATGTAACCCTGGTATGTGGTAAAATAAATTCATTCATCAACACATAGTGCATGTCAGAGTTCAATTGAGGATACATTAGAATCAGAATCACATTCAAATGGCACCATGTGTGGTATGCATTTAGCATTTTAAGGCTATGGTGGAGGATAATATGAATTAACAGTACTTATTAAAACCCATTTGTTCACTAGCAGAGAGTGATTTGAGGGATATATGGTGAGTGAAGAAGGGAATATGCTTATTCTGTTGTGATTCTGTGGCCTGAAAGTAACAGACCAATAGGGTTGGACACAAAGCACATCACTTTGTTAAAAATGTTGAGGCAATCAACAGGCCAGGGTTTGAGATCTCCATAGACAATCATGGCACTTTTTTAGGGTCACAAATCCTTTGTATGAGACAAATAATGGTGTGTGACATGGAAAAAAAATGAAAATAGGAAAGGTAAACCAGGTACTGCCTGGCTACTAGACATTCATTCTGAACCCTCCTAGTGGCCTTTAGATGGGGCCATGCCATGCTTTTTTTAGTTTCTTTTCAATCTCACATTTGTTTGTAGTCCCTAAAAGGAGAACAAGGTAACAAAGCAATTCCACCTAAAATCAAATAACCGAGAAGCCACATAAAGGAAGGCCAAAAAGCCATATCAGGCTGCACAATTTCCATGCTACTGTGTGTGTTTGTGTGTGAGAGAGAAAGAGAGTTGTAGTTACTTTTTTCGTGTCTCCATATTATCGAGAAATCAAAGATACACAATTCACCGACACGAAATAACCCAAGATCGAAAGTGAAAACCTCACTGTAGCAGCAGGGTACAATGAAAGTGTCTTTCTTACCAATGAAGAATGTGACACTATGTGATTCTTTGCGCTGCTGTGGCTTAAGATATTTCATGGCTTTTCTTTTGTCTTCTTCAGCAAAATGCTTCACAAACAGTTCTTCAACTTCATCTGCTAGATTCATCACCTGTCATTTCCCCCAAACCCACTAATCAGCAAAAGCAACACCTTTTGTTTCTTATCCTTTGCCATAGGCTTATGGGGAAGAAAAAAGGAATGACTGGCTGAAAAACCATCTCAAAGTGAGGGACAAGAAGATCTGGAGTTACAATCTTCCATAAACATGTATGTGTGTGAATATCAGGATCATCAGCCACTTCACATTGTCGGGAAACAAGAATCAGACTAGGAAACAGACTAATGGAATCCAAGCAAACATCTCATCATTCCATGAGTGGAGCCAATCAAAGTTTTTGCAGTGTGGTGGTGATTGGTCCATGTTAGCCAGCCTATGAAGATCATAGCCTCAAGATAGATTTTTACTTGATTTACATCATTCAATCAAGTTAACTTTCTTTTTACCTTGTCAGAGCTGTTGAAGTATGAGCTTTCAACAACTTTGAGGTAGATTGGAAGTACTTGTTTGCCAGTCACCTGAAGAGGAGTAGCAACAAAAACACCCATCTCTTTCATTAATCCTAAACTTAACTTTTTGACCAAGAAAAGGGTTCATACAGAAAGAAAGAAAGAAAAGAACTTGCAGTACCTTGTCAAACTTCTTCAAAATCTTGATGAAAGCTAGCATGTTCAAGTTCCTGAAACAAGTTGCAACAAGGACCAATGTTAAGTAAGCGTCTAAATAACTCTTTGTAGAAAGCTTCTAACTTTAAACTAAGACATAATGAATTGGTAACTTAGTTGAATTTACCTGTAAGTCTTGAGGTAACCAAGGCCTTTATAGAGCTCAATGAAAGCTCCCCTAATCATCTTCTCAGCATGATGCAACTTTGTCTTGTTGATGTGAACAGGAAGCCTGCTTCCTTCAGGGTTGCATTTCTTCGAAGACATCGAATTATCTCCCCAAACCAGATAGCTGATTGCAGAGAAAGTGCGCAGAGGTGTTGTCAATGGAATGTTGAGCCTCAAGTTCTTGCCTTTGCAGCTGAAAACCCGCCCCGATATGGTTCTCATCTTCATATCTTCTCTCTTCATTCTTGGAGAGTCCACTGCTTCATCACCACTAGCCTTCTCTGACTCATTTTCCTCTGGCTCCTTCTCTTCTTCTTGTTCTTCTTCTCCTTCTGTTCCAAAGTTGAAACATTTGAAGCGTAATTAGAGACATACAAAGTTTAAATAATTGATCATTATAAGGGTTTTGATTGGTAAACTATGCTCAGTGTAACACAATCGTCACTAAAGTCATTGACAATGCTGATTAGGCATACTTAATTGAAAAAATCTGAGGCAGAGTTAAGGGGAATGATAATATTTGGTAACTATCTGATAAATGCAAGTGACCAGATTGTTATATTTTGAAGTCAGCGACGATTTTGGTACATTGAGCACAGTATATTAACATATGAACTGAAATTGGTCAACAAGTTAAGTACCACAGCAAATTGTGCAGGAAATGGAAGGATCATCCTTAGAATCCTGAGGCAGAGAAGAACTCTTGTTGTGGTGGGTTTTAAGGGCAGCCTTGAGATGAATGAGAATGTCCATTTGTTTCTTGAGGCATTCCCCTCTCTCCACAAACTCCTTCTCTTTCGACTTGAAGAATTGGTTCACTTTGTTGAGCTGCAAATCAAGGCAGGCAAAGAAGTCCTTCACAGCAACACTATCTTCAAACTGATCCAGCAATTCGGTCTCGTACGTGTCGCCTTTGCTGAGTGTGGAGGCCAGCTTCTTGTGAACCTGTTGATCAAACATGGTCAAATGGAGAAACTACAGAAATGGATTGATGGAAGAAAGATAGAGAAGAAAATGGTATATGACTATATGTACATGAATGGCTCCATGGCTGTGGTGCTGCTCTCTATGTCCATGGGCAAAAGTATGAGTGAGTTTCTTTAGAGAAGCAACCAACTTGGTAACCAAGTTGTTGCTGCTAATGCCATTGCTGCTGTTTCTGTAGTTGTTTGGTGAAGTTATGGTGGTGGTGTGGTGATTATGGTGATCATGGTGATCATGGTGATAGAACTTCTTAAGGTCTTTCTTGAGTTGCCAGTAATCAACAAATGCTTCTTTCCACTCAGGAACAAGCTGACCCTCAAACTGCTTGGAGAATTTCACCATTTCCTTTTCCCCCTCTTTTAAGAAGTTGTGGTATGTGGGTTTTTTGGTTTACTACTCCAGAGGGGTGAAGCTGGGTAGAAGAAGTGGTGAGTGGTGTTTCAATGGTGGAGCTAATGAAACATGGTTGTATATATAATGAGTAGAATGGAGATGGGGTAAAGAGAATCATTCTCTGATTGATGTGTTCTTTTTCCATAACACAGCACATTCTCAAATATCCTCCTTCCCCTCCCTCCTATTCAGCTGCCACTATATCTATATATATATATGCCTGTGGCCAAAATGATTCGCCGGAAGGAACTTGTCCAAACCACCGCCGCCAACAGGTGGTGGTGGTGGTGGTCATGGCAAGATAATGGAGATTTTGTACAAGTGGAAGGCAGGATGCATGATGCAAATTTCCAAGCTAGGGCATGATCAAATGGACCATCTTGAATTACCTTTGCTTTTTTTTAACTTTTGTGCTTTTTGGACATTAAATTGCTTGTTCCTGTTTAGGAAAATGGGCAATTGCACAGAGAGATTTCCTTTGGGGGAACTCAAGCTAAAGAAGAATTATTGGGGATGGTGAGGTCAGAATTTGTAGAAGGGGTTATTGTTTTGAATTGAATTGCCTCTCAATCAGTAGAGTGAGTAGCTGTTGATATGAGTACAAATATACTAAAATTGATTTCACTATGGAAAAAGGAGGTGGTTGAAGGAATTGTGATTGATTAAAGAGATTGTGAAAAAAAAAATTTACTTGATGCACATTCAAAAAGGTAAAATGCTAACAACGAATTCGGAGAAGAAATCAAATGAGACAAACAAATATGAGTGTCAACTGACAACACCAGTTTTATGCTTTAATTCGATATGACACCAAATGCACGGAAAGATTTTTACTAACTTAACTTGACTTATAATTGATCATTTCTAAACGCATACAAGTCTTTGATTGATCACCAAAAGAGATTTGGAGAAATCAGAAAAAGGAGAAAATGAAAAGGCTAGCAGATGATCAACTCATAAGCACTTTTCTTGTACAAATCAACAAAAATGAAAAGTAGTAATCTAATGTGGGAGTTTTTGTTACGTGCCCAAGAAAACATCTATCTTCATTGGCAACTTCAACCAAAAGATCAACCAACTTGATACACACTATTATTGTCATATTCTTAATTTTCTTCTTAAAAGGATGCACTCACCAGTTTCAAGTTTCATACAGGAAAAAACAATGTACGTGCATAAAAATTTAGTGCACAGCCTACTTTTACATAATTATGTATGATTTTTTTTTTTTTTGACAAAAGATAATTCTCATTAATCAAGACAAGAAATAGTTACATCCTGGAACAAAGCCAGGCCTGAAAATCGAAGAAACGACTAGCAGTCGGGTGCAAAGTCAGGGCCTTATGAGCCACCAAGTTGGCTACCCTATTCCTACTCCGACCTACAAATCGAACACTAAACCCTAAGCGGTCCGCCAAATACGTAAGAATCTCAGCAAGAATAGCGCCAATACGACTATCGCTAGCATCCGCCTGGTTGATTTTATCAATAATGATCTTCGCATCCCCCTCAAGGCACACCTCCATAATACCCCGATCCAAACACCAACGGACAGCCTCCCGGAGCCCTAACGCCTCAATGACCAAGGGATCATCAATGTCTGGAAACTGAAACCCAGCAGCCATAAGAACCGCTCCCCCCGAAGACAACAGAACAATCCCCCCAGCGGAGTGTGAACCCCTCCTAGTAGCCCCGTCCCACCTACAAACCAGCCTATCCTCCCCCACCGGCAACTGCAAAGGAGCTTGGGACTCCGTGGATCGGGATGTACGGTCCACAGGCAATCTCACCCATTCCTCGTATTGCTGGTTGAATTGACGCATTAGAGCAGGGATCCCGAACTGCTTACCCTCAAAGACAACCCAGTTCCGGGACCTCCAAATTCTCCAAAGGGCAGCAACCACCGCCATGGTGAGGGATGGGTGAGAAATAAGGGACAGCAAACGTTTAAGAAACAGCGGGAAGGTGGTCTTAGGCAACCCTTCCCCCAGATACTCCAACCCCGAATAGTCCCAGACCGCACGAGCCACCGGGCAAAAGAGGAACAAATGTTCCAAGGTTTCAGACTCCCCCCAGCAAACCGGACAGCGAGGTAGAACCGGAACTCCTCTGGCAATAAGGGCTTCCGTCGTAGGAAGAATCCGATTCAAAATCTGCCAAACAAATACCTTCAACTTCGGGGGCAGGTTAGCCTCCCACACCCTGATCCAACTCGCCTTATCCATCCAACTCACCTCAGCCCTCCAATGACCCTTCCTCCTATCAAGGGTGACCGCTAAATGATAGGCTGACTTCACAGTGAAGATGCCCTCCGGATTATAATGCCAAATCAGCTTATCCTCCACCGGTAATAGCGGGAGAGGGATACTCTTAATAGCCGCACAAGTAGGAGGGTCAAACCACTGGGCCAACTTCTGGTCACACCACCGACCCCCTTCCGGACAGATAACCTCAGCAACTACCGGGCCTCCCTCGACTGGTAAAACCTGGGGGTTATACCTAGGGGGATCCAACTGAAGATCAGGAATCCAGTTGGAATGGAGCAAAGAAGCAGACTGCCCATTACCAATTTGCCACCGAAGCCCTGCCTCTAAAAGTTGACGGCCATAAAGAATGCTCTGCCATCCCCACGAGGGACGCGATCGCAGCGTGGCCGAGAGGAAGTCCCCATTTGGAAAATACTTGCCCTTATAGACTTGGGCTAATAGAGAGTGAGGTTCTTGAAGAATTCGCCAACCAATTTTTGCCAAGAGGGCCTGGTTAGCCTGCTCAAAACGGCGAAATCCCATGCCTCCCTCATGTTTACTACGACACATATTCCTCCAAGACATCCATCGAATTCTCGACAGATCCTCCTCAGCGCCCCATCAGAATCGTGCCACATGCTTATCAAGAATTCGACACAGCGATAGGGGAAGTTTGAAGCAGGACATCACATGTAACGGTAATGCCAAGGCAATGGACTTAATTAGGGTCTCCTTCGCCGCCCACGAAAGCGTTCTCCGCTTCCACCCTTGGAGACGATCCAGAAGCTTTTCCTCCAAGTACCGGAAAGTATCCATCTTGGACCGGGCAATTAGGGTGGGCAAACCCAGGTATTTATCATGAACCCCAACCGCTCCAACACCCAGCATTGCCGCCAGGAACTCTTGATCTGGTAAAGCGATATTCCGACTAAAACACATTGCCGATTTGTCCAAGTTAACTCTCTGACCACTGAGCTCTTCATACTCATTCAGTACCTCAATTAAGTTTTCGCATTCCTGAAGAGACCCACGCAGAAACAAGTAGGAGTCATCAGCAAAGAACAGATGCGAGATCCTTGGGGCCCGGGGAGCAACCTTGATTCCGGCAAGCCTATCCGCAGAAATAGCCTGGCGGAGAAGCGCCGCAAACCCCTCCGTGCAGAGCACAAAAAGTAGTGGCGACAAGGGATCCCCCTGGCGAAGGCCCCGGGAAGGGGTAAAGTAGCCCGAAGGGGTACCATTCATTAAAATAGAGAAAGACGAGGACCGAAGGCACTTTAAAACCCATCCCCGCCAGGTGGAGTTAAAACCCATTTTTTCCAAGACAGCAAGCAGAAAGGGCCATTCGACTCTATCATAGGCCTTTTCCATGTCAACCTTCAGAGCCATGTACCCTTTCTTTCCGCGTGTCTTAATTTTTAAATAGTGCATTAACTCATGCCCAAGGAGGATATTCTCCACAATCTGTCGGTCTCGTATAAAAGCATTTTGCCCTTCCGAGACAATCTGGGGTAAAAACCCTGCAAGTCTCTCAGCCATAATCTTGGTGATAACCTTATAAACAAACTGGCACAGGCTGATAGGCCTTAACTGCCGCATATTTTCCACCGAATCAACTTTCAGAATCAGAGTAAGCCAAGTATGATTGAAACTACGGAGCATCCTACCAGTCTCAAAGAAAGAACACACTGCCTCGACCACCGAGTCACCCACAATATCCCAGAAAGATTTGAAGAATTTCCCCGTAAATCCGTCCGACCCAGGAGCCTGCTTAGATCCCATTGCAAACACCGTTCTACGAACTTCCTCAGGGGGAACTGCTTCTGACAGGACGGCATTCATAGCCGGGGTAACCGTGCGGTCAATAGGCAAGCCTGCCACCCGCTCAGTCATATTCACAACCTGATTTTCCGAGGTAAAAAGATTTTGATAGAAATTGGACGCAATTCCAGCTTTACCAGGCTCATCCGTGACCCATTCGCCTTCATCATTACGGAGACCACTCACAAAATTCTTCTTCCTGCGCGTCCGAGTAACTGTATGAAAATATGAGGTATTCTTGTCACCTTTCTTTAACCAGTGGACCCTAGACTTTTGTTGCCAATAGATCTCCTCCGCTTCCCATTGCCGACTCAACTCAGTTTCCAGAACACGGATCGTATCCCAGTCAATTGGATGGGTCCTCTTAATAGTTTCTATTTCATTCTGAAGAGTCTTGATGTTGCGGAGGGAATTGGTAGTGCCCGCCCGACTCCAATCATACAACAAATGACGGAGTTTTTCAGGCGTTCCCATAGGCAAAACATAGGCGTCCCTTGGATCTCCTCCTGCCAGACATATTGAACCATAGATGATCATATTAAGCCAATATGATTTTTATTATAGTGATGCGATATATCTTACTATAATAGTAAAAAGTATGTCACTCTGGATAAATAGGGGCTATGCAGAGTTATAAACTTGATCCGGTCTCATATATAATAACATGTTGAGAATGAATTTCAAACTATAAACCATGCCACTCTCCACTAATGTATTTACCATCAAACCAAAAGACAACTTTGATATTATCGTACCTTTTATCATATAATAACGCTTATGATTATTAAATGAAAATAAATCATAAAAAAACTGTCTTATGATATTGTTTTTTAAAGTCACGCTCCGTTTAGGACAAAATCTTAGTTACGACAATCGTCAAGGTATCATGACATAGTTGCAACTCAAACTCTTAGTCTCTAGTTATTGTTCCGCATGCACCTCGTATACTTTCTTGCTACATCTTGCAGATCTTGGTGCTTCGAAGAAGTGATTGATGGCTTGGACTCGGTTTGAAGATCTTGAAGACAGAATGTCAGTCTCATGGCTCCGTCACCGACCGTCCATTCGAATTGAAGTCTCTCTCAGTGCTCTTGGTCGGCGAGGAACAAATGGAGTTTCATTGTAACAATGTGCAGGTAGGGTTTGTGATCAAATCTCACTTTTAGGCTCATTAGATATGGCCCTATTGGGTATCCGATCGGATTTGGGTAATGTTTTTTTAACATTATTGTATTATGTTGTGATCTGCTCCTCTGGATTTGACCCATTTGCAACCTAAATTAAAGGTTTTAAAGGAAAAATAGTTATTATTGACGCCATTTCTTTTTACAACGATGTATTGGTAATTGTAAATCCTATAAATAAGAAATCAATATGTTTTTTATTCGGTGTGAAAGTGACAATTTGAATCCATTAATCCACCAATTTATTCACTACAAATCCAACTAATCCAATCCTAAATCCAAATCCAATAGATCGGTGTATTTATGAATTGATTTTAGTTCCTATAGATTTTATATTTTACAATTTGATACATAAACCTTGAATTTTAATGCAAAACATACTTCAAAAACTACCTTCGGTCCCCAAATTTGTTTACAATCACATTTTAGTACTTAAGATTTTCAAAATTTTCATAATGGTCCAAAATTAAAAGTCACTTGGACCCATAAATCACATCCACAAATCCATTTAATCCAATCGGTAATTTCATCAATCGAATCCATTTCTCACCTCGGGTAACTAGTATAATCCTAACAAGTAACAACACCAAACACCCTGTGGGTAAATACTACATACTGCATTACTTTATCGGGTCGTTTATTTGATGGTTTTGGTGATGGATTTGGTGATGGAAATCTATCCATCATGGACTTTAACGGAAATCCATCGTTTGCCTTAGGGAATTAGGGAGATGGAATTTGTGGGTCCCGCCACTTTTGGGGTTCCAAATCCGTGGACCCCACGGACTTGGAAGTTCCACCTCTTGAGGTGGGATTTGGGTGATGGATTAAAATCCATGATGGTAAATTACCTTTCTACCCTTACTTATTACTTTAATTACAAAGTTGTCCTACTTTAATTCAATGGTCATGCAATTATAAACTTTTATAATGTCGTATTTTATATATATGAGAATTTTTCATTTCGTTTTGTAATATCATAGTTTATTTAAATATGAATGTATATGTGATTTGTTAGATTCAACTATAAACATATTATGCTCGTCTTGTGCATCATTATTTGATTGATTGTCGGATTCCAAAATCGGGGAGTTAGCAAGAAGTTGATGAGTTGTAGCAATAAAGCGAGCAATTGGTTGCAATTGATACATAATATTGCGTACATTATTAGATGAGTTGTTAATTAGTGCCAAACTATAATACATTTCTATATTTGTAGTTGAATTATTAGTCCACATAGTGGTAAAGAGTTTAAAATTTCATTGTATGCGTTGGATTTTTTTAATGAAATTTATGGATTATAATATAGAAATATAATTAGATAAGATAAGGGTAACAAGGTAATTTGAATTTCATATCCACAAATCTATTCAAACAAAATCTATAATCAAATCCAACAAGCAAACAATAGACTTGGTCAAATCCATAATGCCACCAAATCCATCATATATCCATGGTTTTCCAAAACCCAAGTTTTATCAAAACCCTCATTTTTCAAATCCATGAAGCAAACGACCCGTAATGTGTAATACATATATACCATGCGTTCTGGAAATACACATGATCAGAATCTTCCATTTTCTTTGAGATGATTAATTCTTTTTGGTGGGATTAAGAATATGATGCTTTAGCCACCATGACCATTTACATTACTAATGGACACGGGTTTGGTTTGTGTTTTGTGGACTGTGTTAATGGATATATTGGATATACGCATGGAATAACCTCTATATACTTGAAATTTTTATTCTTGCTTGTTAGATCAATAAAAGTGCGACTCTCATTATACAAATGCTACTTGCAGAATACCAAACGACGGATATTTAGTTGCGGGAATCATTCGTATGGACTCTCAACCGGTTCATAGTTAGCTAGGTTTCAGAGGGGAGTGTGGATGATTTATGGGCTCCAGAGAAGGCTCTCGAGCTCAAAACCAGTTACTCGATGTGTCTGCGTGGACCGTGGTAGACACATCACGAGTTAAGTTTAACCCTTTTTACTAGAAGGAAAAATGGCGTGGATGTCTTGTTGGAGGTTGAGTTTCACACCTAAGAGTACTAGTTGGACAGTGTACATTATTGTCTCGCAAAGATAACTAGTTCTACTAGGGGGGAAAAGAGTTGGTTATGAACAGTTCAGTCAGCAATATATATTATTTTTTTGTGTTGCTCAAAAATTTCTTATCTGCTCGACAATGACTCATAAAGGCATTATAGACAATGAGTGTTACTGTTATCTAACAAAATATCGTAACCCACAACCTAAATACCGAATAAAAAGAGGCTATCTAAACAAGGGAACATGGTCTTAAATATCGTATGTCTAGCCTTGAGTTCTCTTATGAGGTCACCTGACTTGAAAAGAGCAAGAAGAAAAGAGGTTGTTATCTTAACAGCACATTTTGCAACCCTTGTCCCTTCTCAACTTCCTACAAGAGGAAACTCGAAAGTGAGAATTTCTTGAGCACTCGTATATTTGCCTTGAATTAGTCACCAACCTCCAGCTGAGAAATTTTATGTTTAATTTTGGGGCCAAGAATAAAGAAGAGATGCAAAAGAGAGCAAGCAACAAGGCTTGTAGCTAGTTTTACAGAAAAGGGGTGGTTTTTGAAGTGGGAATTGGGACCAATTGTAGGACATGGAAATGAAGGTCTGATTCAGATAGCATTGTTGAGTATTTTGGTGCCCCCTTGCCTTTGCTACAATGTCTGGCCTTCCCTTTTGGTAGGGTTGAAAATTGGTTTGACTCGTTTTATATGCATCTTTGATTCTGTCCGACCCGCTTTGGAAGAGTCAACTTATATAATTAATACGCCCTTGTCTTTATTTTTTTCGACTCTCTAGGTCCTCTAGTATCGAGGCAGGACAGATCGGGTCATGGGTCGGCTCAAATCAATACACTGATTGTTTGAAAATTACATTTTGGTATTCAAATTTTTATTTACAATTTAGTACCATAAGATTTTTTTACAAATAGGTCCCAAAATTTTAAAATTATGTTCTAGTGTATTCATTTTTTTTTACCTTGCATTATAGTACATAAGCTTTTAAAACTTTACAAACATATCCAACTACTTTCGAGACGCATCCTGAAATATCCTCAAAAGCAAGGCTTGAAAAATCGTACCGTACCGTACCAGTGATTTGACCAAAAAAACCTCCTATCGGAAGCAAAACCAGTAGGCAGTATTAAGCGGTACGAAATGGTTAAATCACGACTAAACCACAATTTCAACATCAAATATCCTACTGTTGATTTTTCTAATACAATCTTCGGTACAATTTTTCAATCTTTGCTAGCAGGCAGTACCGCTCAAGTTATCATATGTGAGCTCGAGTTTAGTCGAGACTCGAGATAATAAGCCATTTTACATAGGTTTAAAAGACAAATTGGGATTCCTTAATTATTTGCATTGTAACTGAAATAATTTCATCTTATTCATGCTCTTATTCTTTATTCTTTTCTGTTTCTTTTTTCTGTTTCAACGAAATTTCTTCACCACAATCTATACCACCTCAACATTCGGGACGGGATACGGTGACAACCCCTAAGGGGGTTGTCAGATTGACAACCAAGGGTATTTTGGGTATGAAAAAAGGAATATATTAATTACCTTTTTTGTATTAATCAGATTGGGAATTAAAAACTCATATTAAATACAATTTTTTTTAAATTTAAATCCTATACATTAATATCTCTATCTATCTCTCTCTCTTCCTTTCTCCTGCGGCCACTCCGCTACGATGGACAGACTTTTTCTTCGGCGAATTCTCTCCGGCAGACTCCCTCCGGCAACCTGAAAAAATATACCAATGCGTTAAAAAGTGTACCAATCTATTAGTCTACTGGTAATTAATATACCAGTGTTAGTGGTACGCTACCAGTGCTACTGGTACGCTACCAATACTAGTGGTACGCTACCAGTGCTAGTGGTACGGTACCATTACCACTTGTAGTGGTACCATTAGCAGTACCCGTACCACTGGTAACGGTACCATTAGCAGTACCACTAGTAGCGGTACCAGTACCACTGGCAGCGGTACCAGTACCAGTACCACTGGTAGCGGTACCATTGCCACTGGTAGCGTACCACTAGAGACTAGCACAAAAAAAATCAGATCTGAAATATGAAAAATCACAGATCTGAAAAAAAAAATAGGGATGACGAAAGGGGGAGGCAGGGGAGAGGCGGTGACCTCGTGGCGACGGTGGTGGTTGGAGACAGAGGGCGGCGGGAGGGTTGCGACGACGGTGGTGGTGGGAGGCCATCACGGCGGTGGTGGAGGAGGCCGCGACGGCGTGGCGGGTCGGCTGCGACGACGGTGGTGGCAGCCGATAGAGAGAGAGGGAAGAGATGGGAGGAAGAAGAAGAAGAATAGGAAGAAGAAAGATGGCGTGAGAGAGAGAGAGGAAAGAGAGAGTGTAGGGTTTTAGGTATTAATAGGGGTAATAATTTAGTGTGGTCAATTTTTTTCATCCAAAAATACCCTTAATCCAATCTATATCATTGATTTGAAAAAAGAAGAAAGAGACAAGAGAGAGAATGAATCCTATAGTTATAAAATGGGTTGTCAATCTCACAACCCATAATAGGGTTGTCACCGTATCTCATCCCTCAACATTCGACACTTTACGCAAAGCCATTCGATTTGCACATCATTTAGTTTTCAAATAGTGGATAGGTGTGTGAGAGAAAGAAAGAGAAAATGAGAAGCGACAAACAATCAATTAAATGTCAACTCACCATTTTCTAGCATAATTAATATCTTCCATTAAGCTGATCTATTTTTAGAAACTAGGATTTTACTGTTTCATTTGGAATTTACCTAAGAACAATACTGGGCACATTCACAGATCACAGGTATAACGAATCTGCTCTGGTTGCAGACAATGTTTTAGGTATTCTTCAATTATTGAGAAACCGCCGAATCAAATCGACGTTTTGTTTCAACACCAAATTATTCCTCTGTATACGACACTACTTAGTGCTCAATTTCTTCATACCATCATCATCATTCCCATCTCTTAATAATGAATGCTGTCATTAAGTAGTACATTAAATAAAAAAATAAACCTATATCACCTGTAAAAAAAAATGTGGTCAGGTCTTTTGCTTCGTTAATTTTAATAAATACTGAAGAAAATTGGACTGAATTAGCATTTGGACCGGACCAAACTGGACCAAATGTAATGTTTGCTCGGTCAGTCCTTAGTCCTAAGATCGATGACTTTCACCGTTGGACCATGATCCTCATGAGTTTGGTATGATCAGAACCATATTGTTGCAAACCCTCTAAATACATATCTATTGATTAAGTCGTCACAACGCTTAAGATCACGAAAATGCGTACAATTCTATTGATTAAGTTGTCACATGACAGCAACTATAGTAGTAATTTATATGGTTACCAATCCGATCGATCTTAACACTCCTAAAGTAATGGTAATGCATGCATCTTACGTTATACAAGTGAATTGTTGCTCAATAAATCAGGGATTAGATGCCAATATTCTCCCCCTGTGTACATATATACTGTCTAGCTACTTTGATACCAGAAAAAATTCCTTTATTATATTTACAAGTTTACAATTTGGGCTGCTGTACTGTTTAGAATTTTCCGCACCATCCCGTCCCAGCACATGCCATGAGGAATATATGAAAAATCTGTCACATCAATTAACCGCCCATATTACAATTTAAGGGTGAAAGAACTGATCTTGCATATGTATTTACTCATTTTTATAAGCATTTCATTATAAAATCCTAGATTCACATAGGCCTGACAGATTACTCTTAAACACAAGCATGGTGGTCGAACCAGACAAGATTAGAAGTATGAAACCGAGGAAACATTTATCAACACGTGCTCGTTAGGGGGTGTGTAACGGGGTGGTTAGTATCAGATCGTACTGGACCAAACAGACGTTTCGACCAATGAATTTTATAAATATTGAAGCCAATGTAGTCAAAAAGCGAGTTTCTACGTAGATACGTTTTGGTGATCTAGAAACGTAAAATCGTAAGTTTTTAAGTTTTAAAACAGAGTTTTTAGGGCAATGTCTATTTTTTACCCAAACCTTTTTCAGATTCTTTTATTTTAACCAAACCTATAGAATTCCTAAAAATTATCCAAACGTTAACTCTCCGTCAACTTTTCTGTTAGTAATGCTGACTAAGTATGACCATAATGAGTTGACTTCCTACGTGGCGGTCAGAATACCATCATTTACTATTTTTAATAAAAAGATTATAAAAAAAAACAAAACAAAATCCCACCCCTCACGTGGACGAAATAAGTAACGGTAACAGAATGAATGCCCAGACTTTGATAAATTATAATACGTTTGGATAATAAATAGAATTTCTATAGGTTTGGTTAAAATAAAAGAATCTGAAAAAGGTTTGGGTAAAAAATAGACATTGCCCGAGTTTTTAACTACATAAGTTATAAAAACTGAGATTTTATGTAGAAGCGTTTTAGTGACCTAGAAACATAAAATCACAAGTTTTTAAGCGCGATTTTGACTACATTGACTGAAGCAAATGGACCAAATTGATATTTGAACTGGTCTTATTGTGTTGTTGTTTGTTTGTCTGGTCCTCGTTCCTCGGTATCTTTCCCTATAGAACCACGGTTCTCATGAATTTGGACATATCTAGACCTGACCACTGCACACCCCTGATTCTCGTTTAGCAACAGAAGAACAATATGAATGGGTCAAGTGTCCTAGCTAGAGAGTTTCATATTTACACATAGTAATTTGTTCTCAATTTGTTGAGAATCAAATATGCCATGCATGTAATGCCCGCGAGCACGTATTGCGCGCCTGTGTTAATGATCCGAACTTCGTTTAATTAACGGTCAATATTGTTCGTTAGTCGTTGTTTTAAAAGAAAACAACTAATCGAAAGCAGTTAGGTTTTGTGTTTGCTCTTTGCATCTCTTGTTTTCTCAAGTAGTAGCTAACTTTATTCTCAAAATCAATGTCCCCTCTCCAAAACATTGTTAATAGATAGAATCTATTCCAACCAAGATATGTTAGGATGAACCATATCCAACCTAATCTATATGCATGCATGTCTAGACGTGCACTAGAATTTACTTGCTTCTCTTCTTCAGGACGTGTGTATAAAAAAGGCTCTCGAAATAGCATATACTCCCAAAGGTACTATAACTATATGCATGTGTTTCAAATATGCTCCAAGTATAACTTTACAATGGTGTACTACGTTAAACTATGATCATTACACACGAGCATGTTACATAGAATAGAAGTGGATTGTATCGTGGTATATGCCATTAAACCTAGCATATTTCTTCATGAAGATAATCTCGTGGTTTTGGGTGATTTTCAAAAGAGGGGATTCCGATTCTTGTTGATGTGTTGGTTATGAACCACAATCCTCTTGAAAGTTGGAATGGGAATCCTTCACACATAAGGAGATTTGGAAAAGTTTGATTTGATACCCCCATGAATATATATATTACAATTCCGACTATCGGATAATATAGTAATCTTCATCTTAGGTGGGCGTACGTTCACCTTTCTAGCTAGCTTAACCGAACAAATAAAAACTATCACAACAAAAAAAAAAGCAATCTTTCAATACATTTTGTGTAATTTACCCATAACCATATATTCCATACTTTTTAAAGTATAGGAAGTCTTGTGTAATTTTACCCCAAAAGAAATAATTATCGACTCCCGACTCTAGAATCACACAACATTATTTTGGATAAAATAAAACAGAAAATAAAAATCTGACATCGTTCGAATCGCATTCCTCACCCTGCCCTTGATTACTACTTCTTATTCCCACTCTCGACCGGCGTTGTTGAATTCGAAGTAGACATCAGTACGAATTAGGTAGAGATTTAAAGTTCATTACTCTATATAAAACCGTTTAGAAAGCCATGATGAACAAGGAGGCTGGTGTGGTAATCTCTACTAATCTGGTTTTGTAGATTTTTCTGTGAAGAGTACGAGGTATATATCTCAGTGTAGGTGCTGTTTTAGTACTAGGGCAGGTTTGTTAGCAAAGCTGAACTGAACGAATAACGACGTACACAACGATTTACGTGGTTTCCCCGAGAACGGGACTAGTCCACGGGAGAGTATTACCTCTCCGAGCTGAAATATTATTAGGGTTTTTGTTCTTTCGTATGGTTCTGGGCAGGTTATGGTAAGAAGAAGAGAGATGTCTTCTTCTATTAAGAACCGGCAATTTGTAATGTATGATGATTACAGGAGATTAGACGATAATAAGTACATAGCCGTACGCAAATAACAGCATTAATTAGAAGTAGCCATATTGCGCATGAGGAAAAAACATGTTTTAGTCATACGCACACCAATTGAATTTCCACTATATATGATGATCTTCGAGATAATCTCACCATCGTTGTTATTGATTTCTGCTTGGAAAACTTCGTACAATTATATAAAAAAGATTCAAAGCATTCCATGAAACTTTCTATCTGAACCCAATAAAGTTATGATCGGAATAGAGACAGCGAGTCTTTTTTTTTTTTTAATTTGTGCATGGCTGTTTGCTTTTAAGAAACTTTGTATGAATGAAGCAACTTTCCTGGCGGGTCAAAGAGAGCTCGATCCTCCTCCGTCCATGTCCCATAGAAGTTGGCTTTATATCTTTGCATTTCCTCGTCCGATCCACCAGTTACTTGACACCAAACAAACACTACTTCTACCCACGGGCCACGACCGGCTCTCTGTATGCAAAAAGGTGCCCAAATCAAAGCCAAATCCTCTGTTTTACTTTCACTTTCGTCACTTTTTACAACAAAATGAAAGGGGAAGGAAACTACGCTTTGGAGATTGCTTATGCAAGAGGTTTTGGGTTGCATTCTTTGTTAGAAACCGAACAGAAAATTTAGAAATTTAGGGTTACCGATCTGGCTGAGTCGCGGACTAGGTCGCTTTCTTTAAGACGTTCGCGTCACTGCCTCGTATTGCGCACAGCAGACTATCAGCCGGTCGCCTCCAGGATAAAACAGTCATTCTAATTTTCTTGCTCATCGGTTTTGTGCGAAAAACCGGAGCTCTATGAATTCACTCTCTCTCGTATTTCTGCTCTTCTGATGTGTGTTTAGAGGGTCTGGGGCGTCTCCTATTTATAGGAGCAGAAAACCCAGAATATTCCCTCTTTCTTTGGGAATAAGTCACATTTTAATTAGGGAGATAATTACTCCCATAATTAAAATATCATCTATTAAGATAATTATTCCTAATTATCTCCATAATATTCCTTTTATTAATTATCCATCTTAATTTCGTATTATGGGAAAATACTGGATAATTAATTAGGAATTTCATTATAGCTTTTCAAAGCTATTCATCCCAACAAT